TTTCCCACTTCTGTCCATTCACCCTGGTGGGCCAGTATAACTGTTTGTGGGGCTATGAAAGAACAAGACTAAGTAATTTATCCAGTTCTGGTTTGGGTTTTAGAAGATTATTTTATTTCCAGGGTCCTTCAGCTGGGTTCTTCCTAAGCCAGGGCAGTTCTCTATTCTGTTTTACTGAACAGCATTACTAACCCCAACAAAACCAAGAATGAAGTCATTCGAGATGGTTGAGCCAAATTTAAGGTTTGCTACTACCACAGTAAGAGGTCCCATTCCCTTTCTTTACTTCTACTTACCTAGCTCTACCACTCACTAGACCCCTCCATTTTTATGTTCAGCTCCATAAACGAGCAGGCAATCGTGCAATCTTTTCTGAAAAAAAGAGACACTGGTCCCGTGAGTGCCAGCATCAGTAAAGAGAAATAAGCAAGGGAGGAGCTAGCGTTCCATCTTTCTCTGGCGGCAAACTACCATTCAGCTATCCCCCATAACTTCACCCCAGGGAGAAAAGGAGAGGCACTGCATAAGCCAGGTTTGCTTCTAGATCTGCTCTCAAAAACCTTGCATTACTCGCACAAGCAGTTAAATTCAGACATATGCTTGACTCCATCCTTACGCAAAGCACCTACACACACATTTCACTGAATGTGGATGGTGTCAAATAGATGTATAGCTCTTTACTAACCAGTCAGTTTTGTGCCACAGACCAAAAGTTTTTTTTTCCCCCCCCTTCAAATATAGAAAACATTCTGGATATCGAATGAGTTCGCCTCTTTTCTCCACAACAGAGAAAATAATTAGCCAATGTCTAAGTCTATGTAGTACATTTCTCTTAACAAATGAGTGCTTTTTTCACAAAATCAGATCGCTTGCTTGCTTGCTTTCTGACCAAGTAACAAGAATATCTCACTTTCTTTCAGAGTGGATTGCCTATACAAAGGTATGCATATATTTGTTTTATCTTATTCTAAGCTTCACTTCTGTACATTTTTAATTAATCCACTTCACTCTAAGACAAAACTGAACAGTGAGGAATGTATGTGTAACTCAACTTTGATTTTATAGATTTGCTTTCTGAAATGCCTGTCACCAGCTTGTTAAACTAAACTTTTTAATGAGATTTTCTTTCAAAGGTAGCCCTCTTCATGACACGTTTAGCTATATTTCATGCAATATTTCAGCTGGACCATCGGAGAGATCTGCGCTAGGAACTAACTGCCAAAAGGTCTGGCTGTTTGGATTAGCAGTGTCAAATTTCAGCTTGAAGAATGTGAAACATCTCATAATCTTGAGCGACATTCTTCACAACTTTGTGGGAGGGAAAAGGGAGCAAAGAAGCTAATAGAACAGCTCGATATTGTTCTCATACGTGAGCAAAGCAGATCCAAGACTGCTACTGGATGGGGGGATTGTTAATCCTACAAACTAAGAATAATACTTGAATTTTATAAGTTAGTGCAGGCAAGATAAGGTGTTGTGTACTGTAGATCTGTGCAGTGAATTGCATCAAGCTCTTACAAGCAATTATCAGAAAGCAAAAGCTTGATTGGAAATGAGTTTGATTCAGCCATGTTTGTTGCCTTCAGAGGTTCAAATGTTTACAGAAGGGAAATCAAGTTTATTTTCTCCTCAAACAACAGTAAGTAGGAGCTAGGACCTCCCTTAATAACCATACCTCTCTCACTGATGGTGCAGTGCTCACTTTACCGCGTGATTCCCTTGAAGATTTCAGGTGGGGCATGCAGGTGAGTGAGGTATATTAAAAGCACTAGCACTGGTGAGCAAGGCTTAGGGAAGACAGAAACAGCCTCACAACAAACAGCAATACACTGCTTTTGTGATTCTACCATAAAGCGTTTCACTTCTTAAGGCAGTAGACATCATTAGTTGAGCTGTAGCTCCTCTTCTTCCCAACGTTTACTCATTTTTCAGGTAAAAGCTCTGTTATAACCAGCAGTTTGCAAACAGGTCTGTGTTCGGGACTGGGTGTGTTGGAGCAGGCTGATACAGCCTATGAGTCATTACACAATGCAGCTCCCTAGACAAGGCTTAACAGATGTATGTGTGTGCGTCTACATGATCACTGTAGAAGAGGCTTTCTAGATTTTCTGGATTGTTGCAGTTTCCAGCCCACCCTTTAGCATTTTGAATTTACAGTAGAAAAGGGGAGATGGAGATGGAGAGAGGAGAGGTCTTTGCATCTTGGTGTGAAAACAGGCGATCTGCACCTATTATGGGAAGAGTCTGCACTGATTCAACTCAAAACTATAATATATAAGCATATCTCACTGACGGGGTGAAGATTTGTGTGATCTGTAGCGAACTTCAGAGGAGAATTTAAAGAATACTGAATGCAAATGACTAAACAGGAGAACACTGAACATTTAATGTACACACCTTCTCTTGGTGCCACTTGCCTGGCAGCTTCAGAGGGAAGCTACTATATGCCAGCTAGGATATTGGCTCTGGACTTCTATCCAGACACATTTTAAAATCAAGAAATCGTGCAGGGAAACGCCATAGGAAAGATTGAGAAAAGGATGTTTGGATGAGGTATTATGATTTTATTTCTTGTCCTGACCAATATTGGAATGTGCAGAAATGTAAAACAAAAATCACCAGTTTCTGCTTTAAACTTTTTTGTCAGATTGAATTTGGTCCAAGGTCTGGGCAACGGCTGTATTCAGCTCCTCCTTTATCCAAATCATTAGTCTAACTCCTTAACAGCTAATCCCTTCTAATCACAGCCAGAGAAAACTGCTGAAATGTCAGATTATTCTCTCCATCTAGAAGCGCATTGGGACAGCTGGCAACTCTCCTCCAAGACTGACTTACATATCGTCCAGGCTAAAAACATACTTCCATCCTTCAGTTTTAATGAACATCTCTTCTCCCGGCTCCCAGGCTGTACTTTCAAAAGCCTTTCTTAAAGCAGCAATGCTCTTTTTAAACAGTTTTCCCCCGCACAGCCCTCAGTCAGGAATACCAGTACATCTCTGTCGGCATGGCAACATGCTGAACTGATGCTGATTAAAAATAACCAGCCAAAATAAATAAACAAAAAGGACAGAGAGGCAGCAGAGGGAGAGGTGTGTGTGGTGGAGACAGGGCGAGATGCTAAAGCCAACTCTGCTCTGGAAGGAAATGTTGATAAAACAAAACCTTTAGTTTACTCTGAGCTCATTTTCTCCTTGCCCCGTTCAGCATATCAGAGACTGGGGGCAAAACTGGATTGCACTATTTCCTGAAGACAACCAGCTAATGAGAAGTCTTCTCAGTAACTGCCAAGACAGCTCATTTTCAATGAGTTGAGGGAGCTGGGCTCATCTATCTTGGAGTGCTCCTCTTCCTCTTCTAATATCTCAGATGCCTGTAAAGTGTCATGCTCTTTGAATCAGGGAGTCCAAATACCTTCCCTGAGTGGCTTGGGTAACAGTGTCATCAGCTGGCAGCTCTCTCAGTACTGTCACCACCCTATAATGTTGACCCTTGTAACCTCTTCAGTTGCTTTTATTCTCATCTAGTAGGCACTCCTCTAAATAACGTATCTGTTATGTAAGAAAGGTGATTTATATAGATGTCTATTCCCTGGGACATCTAAAGAACTAGTTAGGCTAAGATTATGAACATATCAAGATACAGACATCTAAAAAGCAATTGGCTGAAACTTTCCATGCCCTAGAAACGACTGTATACCCAGGATATTTGTTTTTCCAGACCATGATCTGCTTCAGGGTCTTTAATAGTTTTCCATAACTTTGTAATGCAAACCTGTAACATCATCTTGTTTCACAAAACAAGTAGATTTAAAGGAGGAACCATTGCAGATGATATCTCCTCAGGTGCTTGAGTTCATCCCTAAAGTACAAACGTTTCTTTCACTCCAGTACTTCAGCCCCCTGCCTCTAATAAGAAAAACAAAAAACTAAAGAAAAAGGCAAAGCTACAGGGTCTGCAGGCATGAAATGATGGTAACATATTGCATACAGACTCAAAAACTGATAAATTGCATCACACAGCGCTTCAGTAGTTTCATTTCTCCAGTAAAACCAACAAGAGCATCTAATGTGTCTAATATGTCTACAGGCATCGGGCCAGGTGATCACAGATACCTGTACCTTCATCTATGAAGCATGAGTACATAATTTAGGCATGTGAGTCATTAATCAGACCAGGCACGTCAGATCGCAAAGGTATATTGTAGATACACATCCAAGTGACCTTGGCATGCTCCCACACTTCACAGGCTTGCATACCTATGTGAAGAGCTTGTTTAGACATATGTGTCTCTGAAGTTCAAGGCCTTTTTGATCTAGGGAAATAACACCACTTAACTCAGTTACAATGAAACTGTCCTTCCCATTACTAATCTTCATAAGCGACTAGCCTCCAGCTTCAAAATATATTCTGCAATTGAAGTGGGCTAGATACTTTAAGAATTAATAATACTTTGGCAAAATTTTATTGTGAATCCAACCTGAAATAAATCTCCTGCATTTCCCAGCAGAGGAGTGACAACTTTTAGAATTATCCTTGTATTACATTGCAGCATCTGGCTTGTATAATAATCCAGCTGCCCAAGAGATTGCATGGTGGAATCACTCGAGGTTTCAGAAGCATCTTGTTACAATTGTTACCAACACTTAAAATTTGCACTGGGTAGCACTCAGCGCACCTCGTCAGGAAGCGGTCGCCCTTGCACTGGTGTGGGCTTGCAGACAACCAAGAAACAGACCCCTTCCATAAAAGCTCTCAAACCACGTGTTCGGTTCAATTTCATGAGAAACCTCAGAGTTTCAT